TCTCTTTTTAATTAGAAAGATGGCCGAGCTCGACTTGTCTCTACTTTATTTTTTTGTTGTTCTATATGCAAATCCAATTCTGCATTTCTTCGATGTATGTAAAGAGATTCACTTTTGTTGTTGTTTTACTTTGCGTTTCGTTCTGGGAGAACACGGAATTCGGTCTTTGATGGATCGATGGATGGTTCTGCCCACACGGGCTTATTATATTCAGATAAAAAAAAGGGGAGAGATGAGAAGAGATGTGAGATGAGAAGAGAAAAGGGGGGCACGACGTTAATTAAAGAAGCATCGAACTAATCAGGGCTCACGTCTGTGCAGGAATAAATCAAACCTCTGAACACGGGCTCCGGGTCTGGAAATAATTACACGTCTTGTCCGGGGTTGCGGCGCGTTCATCAACCCGAAAACACACAGAAAACTGTGCTCGAGAAACACATCCTTAATTAGACGATATAAAACCAGATGAGATGTGTACTACTTTTTTTTGCTTTGCTTTGTAATCACTTGGTTTTTAAATAAAGCCTCACTTTTTACGCATTACTTGCCAAGTAATTTATATAGTACTATCATAAACTTGTCAAATATCATATAGTAAATATAATTAAAAAAAGCGGCATCAATGAAATCTGTCTTTATTTTTAAATGTTCACAATCAATCAAATTTTTTTTTTATTTATAATAATTTATATAAAATAATTATTTTATATAAAAAAAAACTTGCTAAATGCTGTAATTATTTGAAGTATTTGCTGACTAAAAAAATCAATTTCTTTAAATAACAAAGAATTTTTCAAGTACTTTTAAAACACAATAAAGTATGTAGACATAATTATTGCATTTTTTGTAAAGTTTACTTAATCTTTAAACATTTTCATTGACAACATTTTGTCGTTTTTTCATTTAGTACTAATTTAACGCTTATTGCTATTAAGAAAATAGTTGATGCTTCTTAAATGTAATTTGAATGTTTTGATGTGAAAATTTTCTTTACTAATTAATGATTAAAAAATAAAATTAAAGACGTTTTTCTGTTTCAAATCAGAGGAAAAAAACAAAAATTTACTCTCTTAGTTCAAATTTTAGTAGTTCAAATAAGCTAAAATCAAATCAATAGTTCAAAATACACATTTTTCAATTAATATTTATCAATAGTTTCCTAAAACGATGATCAAATTTTAAATGAAAACTGAGAAATTAAAATTAATTTGAATCTTTAATTAATCGTTAAATTAATTTATCTAATTAAATATCATAGTTTTCCATTGATTAAATACCTAAAGATAATTTAATTATTTGTTAATTAATTAATTCAATGTTTAATTAAACATATTTAAGTAAAAATTTGACGTTTCTAAACTAATTCGATTAATACCTTTAACTGTCTAATAATAACACATAATAAGCAACACATTTGTTTCATTAAGTAAAGAAAAAAACAAAATGGTCGATTGTCGATCATTATAATAATTGCGGTTACTTAACCTTCTTCCACAAATCTCTTTTTTTACTTTGATGTGTAAGAAAAAAGAAAATTAATTTGTGGTTAACATTCTTTTCGCTTTCCTTTTTCTCTCCTTCTTCCTCTCTTTCACACACATTTACGATTTCTATCTTTTTCGAACTAATTAAAGAAGAGCGCGTATGTGGATGAAAGAAGAAGAGGAAGAAAAAACATAAGATGGAGGACGCTTCATAATCTAACGTCAGACCCACATCAAACGGCCGCTGAAAAATCGGTTCCGATCCGTTCTTCTCTAATTCCAAGCGAAAAAAGAAACAAGTATAGAGAAAAAGAAGGGAAGGAAAAATGCGGGTTAATTAGTGGAAAAGGTTTTCATCCATATCTACTTTGAAAGAGAAAGAGAAATAAAAAAAAAATCTTCTCTTTTCGCTATTAAGGGCGTGTGCGTGCGTGTGTGTTTATGTATGTATGTGTATATGTACATGTATGAGTATGTGTGTATATGTATGGGTTTGTATGTATGAATGTGTGTGTGAGTGCAAAGAGAGTTTAAATAATTTACGGCGATATCAAATCTCATCGCGTCACAATTTATCACCGGAATGCTTATTTAATGGCCCCGCTCGTTCGTCGGATTTGCACGATCGCAGGGGCCGCACATCTTGCTTCATAAATTGTGCCGCACTCAACAAGTAGCCTATATACCGTCGCGGTTATATTGTTATTACCGTGCTTATGGTTGCCAACAGATGCAAATTCTATCTTTATTATTACATTAATCGCTTTATTGCGCGCGAGAACCGCGAAACCGAGCAAACGATCATCGTAAAACGCGATTGTCACAGTTTATGTGTGTGTCGGTGGTTGTCAGGATTGTCGGGATTGTCGAGAGGCGACAGCGACGGTGACCCTGACCCGCAGCCGCAAATCGCATCCAAATCCGAAGCACACGCTTCCAACGTTATATATTATTATTTACGCTCCTCTCTCGTCGAGCGCACTGATCTCATTCATATTTAGTAACATTAACATCGCTTGCCAACTGCTAAATACTAAAGCACTGCACGAAACGCATCATTCTCTCCACCGCATCTCTCTGCCAACTCAAAATTCCAACTGCATTTCAACTTGTCCACTATTTTCATTTCTAAACTACACTATATGACACATTTCTCATTTCATTTTCATTCCTCATTTGTTTTCCACCTACCATCTAATATTTATTTACATTTTACACATACATTTTAACATTACCATTTCATTCTGTCATTTACATTTTATTAATGAATTTATGATTCCATTAAATAGTTTTTTGTACATGTAAAAAAAATACAATTTTTAGTATCCACTTTTCCAAATTATTTTGTCTTTTATTGTCTTTAGCATTTTGTTGTTCACATTCATCTATATAAAATTACTTTATTATTTCATTAAATATGTATAATTTTTGTATATGATTTTTCTTTAAATAAGTCAATTTTATTTTATATAAAAAAAATCTAATTTTTAGTGTCCAATTTTTCCAATTACTTTGTTTTCAGGTAATATTTTTGTTATCTTTAGATATTAATTCATTCATCTTTATAAAATTTTCATTCTCAATTTCATTTCCGTCTACTATTTAATATTTATTCACTTTCTAACATTACTTTACTTATACACATTTATATTACACAATTTACACTTTTTTTTTGTTATTAATTTATTATTTCATTAAATACGTATGATTTTTGTATATGATTTTGCTTTTAAATAAATTTATTATCTTTTGATATAAATAATTTCCAATATTCAGTGTGCAATTATTACAATTATTTTGTCTTCAGGTAATATTTTTGTTGTCTTTACCATTTTGGTACTCACAAAGATATTAATTTATTCATCTTTATAAAATATTCATTCCTCATTTCATTTCCATCTACCATTAAATATTTATTTAGTTTTTAACATTACTTTATTTAAGATACATTTATATTACACAATTTACACTTTTTTTTATTAATTTATTATTTCATTAAATACGTATGATTTTTCTTTTAAATAAATTTATTATCTTTTGATATAAATAATTTCCTATATTCAGTGTCCAATTTTTCCAATTATTTTGTCTTCGTCTATTATTTCTGTTGTCTTTAGCATTTAAGTATTGACAAATTCACTACATTATATAGAATTATTCATGTTTTTTTTCATATGAAAAATGCAATTGTTTTTTTTTAAACAATTATAAAAAATATTCTAGAAAATCTGTGTTCGTGGGAAAGTAAAGTAGATACGCCTACTCATGTATCTGACATGTTTTCTCTTCGGCTCTTCTCTGTATGGAGAATTCTTTTTGACGGGTGTCAAGATTAATGAATTTCTATACCCGAGAATAGCAATGGTGGACGTATGCGTTTGCGGCGTATCGTCTTTCGCTCTCATTTAATGGCATCGAGAAGCTTAGCTTAACCCACCTCCAAAACGCATTTCCTTTCGGCCATTATAAATCATCCAAGTTTTAAAGACACACACAAAAAAAAACAACAACAAAAACACACAGAATTTTTAACATGCCGCAGCAGCTGATGTAACAACTTATCTTTATCTTTTTAGAAATTTAATAAATTAACAAAAAAATTAGAAATTTAGAAAAATTCTTTAAAATAAAAATTAACTTAGATTTTCATACATATGAAATATCTATATAAATTCTTTATTGTTAATTGCTAATTGATTTCGAATTTGTAGCAATTTTACAAATGTAATTTTGTATGTATTAATTTTTGCCTAACATAAACACATTACTTTATTCCTGATTCATTGCTGATATTCTTTGTCTATTAAAAACAAAACATGAGATCAAAATTCGTAGTAAAATTGATAAAAACGTTGAAATTTTTATAAGCCTCTAAGAAAAAAACTGTCTAAGTCTGCATGAATTTAACAAAAAAGACGTGCATTCCCAGTCGTCTGCATATTTTTTGTTGTGTTCTAGTTTCATTATCAGTCTGCAACAAGTGTCTACTACATATTTTTATTGTTGTTTTTATTAGTTTGGTAAATGTGCGTAGTTTTAATCCAAATATTGAATGCATTTTAATTTCGTAGAATTGAATCGATTCCATTGTTAAATTATGTTATTTATCAATCAATAAATAATTATGTTAGTAAACTATAATATGAACTTGATGACTTTTGAAAGAAATGTGGTAAAATGGATTTTATTGATATACTTTTAACTAAAAGATTGTTGTTGAATTGTTCTTTATATTCTATAGGTAGATTTTTGTGTAAAGTGAAATGGTGGCAATAAATCATGATTATCGGAACGTTGAGAGGTTCGAAGGTAGTCGCTTTTAAGTTTTGTTGATTAGGTTTGGTAATTTCGGAATGTTCTCGGAAGGGAATTGAGCTGTCCAAAAGGGCGCATTGTGCAATCTTTACTGTCGGCCATAAATCTTCAATTCCTTGGGTTGCGCAAAAGTACGTATATATGTATGATAATAGAGGCGACACCAGGTGGTGAGGGATAGTATTCAATTGTTAAACTTACCGAACTGACTCCTCATCCAAGGGTACAGGGGGCTGGGTAACGAAGAGGACGTGTTATTTGGTGTTTGCGGGTTCTGGGGTTGCTGCTGCTGCGGCAGTGGCGGCTGCTGATGCATGTTGGCGGCCTGCTGACCACCGTACATCATATGTTGCTGCTGCTGTTGTTGTTGCTGCTGCTGATGGTGAGGTTGCTGATGAATCTGCGGGTGCTGTTCCTGCATGTGGTGACCCATGTGATGGTTGGCCATGGGTTGCGTCGTGTCCAGGGGCGGACTTCCGGTGGGGCCGAGGACTCCACCTTGGGTGACGGCAGCCGCCTGCAGCTTGCAACTCGCGTACACCACCGGCGTTTGATGACCGTTGGGCGCCCCGGTACCACCCATATGCATATTACTGGGACTGTCCGGTCGGTATCCCTGGGTTCCATCCATCTGCTGTTGCTGCGCTCCGTAATACCCCGCATTCCTGATATCCATCCTATCGTACGGAGGGAACCTGGGGTAGGGCATACCCTGAGGAGGTTGTCCAGCGGCCGGAGGTCCACCATAATGATGCGGAGGTATTCCTTGCCGAAGCCCCACCACCGAGGGATCACCACCGCAGCTGTTGGGATCACTCTGCACGGCACCTCCACCTTGCGGCACCTGCACAGCGGCACCGTAGTGCTGATGCTGGTGCGGATGCTCGGCGGAGACGACTCCGCCGTTCCGCATATCCGGCATATAAGAGTTAGCGAAATACGAACTCATTTCCATTTGTTTTAGAGATCACAGAAACCACACACACTCACACCAATCGAAATCAAGGACTTCGACGAAAAAAAAAATGATGTACGAACTGAACTTTGGATTTACCCCCAAAATTATATAAAAACTTTCGCCAAAATTCAGCAAAACCGAACAAAAATTATTTATATATATTAAATTTCTTTGTTTTAAATTAAAAACCAGATCACAATTTTTTCCTTCAAAAAACTATTTCCACAGCACTTAATCTTATAATCATCGCAACTACGAAACTATATTCCTCGTACCAAATCCGCACTTAAACAAATTATATGTAAAAAAAACTGGACCTTCTCAACTCAATGTAATCCTCTGTAGTTCTTTGTTTACTTTGTTTGTTTGTTTGTTTTTTTCTATCTGGTCCAATTTGATCAGAGTTGTTGTTGTTGTCCTGCTGCTGATGCTGCTGCTAGCTGCTGGGTGGATAATCCGAAATCGCCCTGCAACAAAAGGATGTCGTTTATGAAATGTGAAAAGAACCCCGATCGTCGCGTTGCCAAAACCTCACTGAGTAAGGTTATGGAATTTACATGAAATGAGTGACACATGTAAACCGAGACAGACAGTCCGTCATTTAGCTTCCACGCATCATATACACACGTGTCCGCGGAATGCGACACTTGCATCTAGTTAAAGGCATTTCCACCCAAAAACCGGAAAGTCTGAGCTACCCCACACGCAGTCCGTAACGTCTTCAAACCCACACTCATCCATCAACAATTTCATACTTTTATTTTCGTCTTCGAACGAAAACAAACAAGAAAACCGCAAACGCCAAAAACTTTGTAAATTTATTTCTTCAACAATTTAAGTAATTCCAAAGAGTAAATGTCATTATAATACCTATACTTGTAAGTAAATCTTAAAAAGTCATACTTTTTCATTAAATAGAATTAAATTTTAATAAAAACTAGGTTTCACGTTTTCTTAATCTATAATTTATAAAATTCAATAAATATATTTGTTAATTATTTTCTAGTTTATCTGTCGCATAATTTTACAATTTTACTATGCAAATATTGAAGATATACTAAATATACTTTAGAAATTTTCTACAGAATATCAATAAATATGATTGTTTTATTCCAACAACATTATGTATACAATTAAAATTATAATTTGCGGAATTATCATTTGATTCTTAAGCTTAGATTAAAACGGAATTTGAAGAGCGTCGAATGTAACGAGAAGGAATTTGTAAATTTCAAAAAAGAAAAATAATCTTTACGCATTCTGCGTAACGTAAATACCATCAAAGAGAATTAACCGAAAGAAAATACTTGTAGTGATTAGTATCTTATACCACAAACAAGTTAAATAATTATATGAAAATGATAGAATCAATAAAATTAAAAAAAATAATGGTTTTAGCAAATATAAAATTTCATGAAATAATTTATGTTTTTATGATTATTTAATGTAATGTATACGGAATTAATAGTTTTATTTATGTTTTAACTACGAATGAGTTTATATAATAATTTAAACACTATTTCAAAATTTATTTAGTAGTTTAATACTTAAAGAACTGTAGTTAACTAAATTATGTAAAACACTTTGATTAAATAACTACTTTGTTTCTAAAGTACTAAAATAAGTTACTTGACAATTATCATCAAATGTCAAATAATTATAACCTAAAACCAAACAAGAAAACAGCGAACGTCAAATTTTCTATAAGTACTTAAGTCAAGTGTCAACAAATATATAACTTTAATCAGTAGCTTTAAATGAACTTATTAATTTATACAATATTTTAAAGAATTAACTGAACTTAAGTAAAATTACATTGATTCCATGACTATCCTAGTTTTTACTATACTTAAAGTTACTTGATAAGTATCATCAAATGTCAAAAATATATATCTTACAGAATTCATTTATTACTTGGTAAGTATCAAACATTAAACCTCAATCGATTAATTTAGTAATTCATATAAACACAAGAACATTTAGATTAATTCCATGATTATCCTAGTTTTTTTTTGTAAATTACCAATAGAAATTACTTGGCAAGTAGTACATATGAAAAATGACATGATTAGTAGTTCAAAATTCATTGAATTTATTACCGTGTATATATTACACGGGTAGATCATTTGTATTGGTAGTTCTAATGCTAAGTATATAATATTTGTTATATAATATGGATGTATAATATGTTACGTAAGTTAACGTCTTCAAAGGTTTTCCGCTCTATATTTTTTTCGTCTCTCGTTGTCGGTGTTTTGTGTTTCTTCTCGTTTCGTTTTTGTTCTCTTTCATTACTACTCCCGCTCTCTTTGTTTTGTTTTTCTTCTTCTACTACTACTTCTTCTCTTTTCTTTTATATTTTTTTTTCATGTTGTTTCGTCTTTTAAAAGAGAAAGAGAGGGAGAGACTAATTGCGACCAAGAGTGCGGGGTTCGAATCTCCGTGACACGCGATTTGTCAAGCTGAAAGGTTCCGCACACATGCAATTCGTTAGCCGCAGCCAGCCATCGCGACGCCTTGGCCTGAGCCGCCACCGCCGCCTCCGACGTCGCCGCCACCGCCGCAGATCCAGGCCGCAACCGCCTCCGCGCTTCTGCCATCTCTCAGCGCGACACACTTTTTGCTCATCCCACCCTACGTGTTTTGATCTACTCTTTCTACTCCAACGTGAAAGAGAGAGACAAAAAAAAGAAACAGAAGAGAACAGAAACGAAGAAGTAGAGAAAGAGTAAAAAAAAAGGAAGGAAAGAAACCCTTTTATTTTCCGCCGAGATTTATAGTCGCGGTCGAAATGATGAACGGCCCCCTCTATAAATGGAAATTAAAAAGTGGATACTTTAAATATTCATGATTTTCAATTCGTGGCGCAAAAATTTACTCGGATTGTTGTTTTTTGTTTCGTTCGCAAGAGTTGTTTTATTTTGTAAGTTGTTTTCGTTGTTGTTTAGCCAGTTTGTTTGTTTTTTGTTTTTGAAAGGGTGAAAGTCGAGGGTTGAGAGAGGGACAAGTTGTAATTGGGTAAATGCCTTAATGAGATTTGCATGTAAATGGGGGGTCGCTGCGGGGTCCAACTTTTAATTTAATCAAAGAACTCCGAGACCCAGGGGCGCATCAGGCGCCGCCGCCCCCGCCGAAATTCTCCGCCAACCATCCACCCACCCCCCCGGTACCAGACATTAATGCATGAGGTGTAAATGTCGCGGTCGGAGCGCAAAACCCCCCTCTTAGAGCCCCAATTAATATTCACGAATACAACGTGGGGCCTCCTCTATCCGCTCGAGATTACACCAGTTCCATTTGGGGATGGAAATTGATTAATACCGACTTTCGTTTTATTTTTTTCCCTCTGTTTCCAACCCCCCAGCTGCGCCAAACCCCACGCATAAGCTAGGCCTGCTTCAATCAATACACCGTTTTTCCCTTTCACCTATTTTTTTTTTCTGTTTGTTTCATTCTCAACCCCCTTCGTTTTGAATTTAAGCGGGAATGAACGGAGGGCGACGTGAGCGACATCCCCGGTGAGTGACGGAAAGCTACCGTAGGCCGGTATAGTAGTAGTTCCGTTTATTTTTTTTTTCATCCCCATTATTTCCGGCTTTAGTTGAGTCGTGAACCGATTCGCTTTTATCGGGCTTTGATATAGCGCGACGCGCGTGGTGATTTAGTGGCGTTGAAAACGCAATTGAAATCAGCCGTAATCGCACATGATGAAAACAATTCATCACACACCCCCACGGACCGGCGCCAATCGATATGCAAAACTTCATGAAAATGCGAACGCCCGAAGGGGAGGCTGATATTTACGGGGATTTTAATCGCGCAGAAACAATCTGCGACCGGAAGTCGATAAAAGCTGCTGTCCCACTTCCGTTTTCCGTTAAAACAGAAGCGACATTTCATTTACACGTAACCAGAAAAAAAACGCATCCAGATACACAAACCGGTGTATATCTGGTGAAGTATAAATCATGTTACGTAAATTCAAAATAAAACACGTCAGCTGCGCGTTCCATCTAGTTGTAAAGTCATAAACTATTAAACTTGAGCAGGCCTCGAGGTCAAGGAATTACCTATAGATGGCAGTGAAGGTTCCGTAAAACTGGATCAAGGTTGGCACCATGTTGTACGTTGCATGGTTCCGTTGTATTATATTTTTTTTTTTCGTTGTTGTCCGCTCGTACCAGCGTGGGGGGATGGGGCGTTTCGAAAAGGGGGTTGAAAATTTCACCGTCGAATGATGGCCGCTATTAATCAAAATGGCCGCCCCGACAGCGCCCACCCCCTAAAACCGCTCGAAACAACAAACCGAAAAAAAAAACAAACGCGCAAAAAAAAAAGACAGAAACAAATGAATAGATGCAACCACGTAATCGATTTGTTTATTTTTATTTAGTTTATTTTTTTTTGTTACTCGATTTGTTTCCGCCCGCAAAATAAAATTACACACCATTATCCCGCCTTTTAATGCCGGCAAATTACCGAGCGCAAATTGCACCACAATTTGCGCTCGGCTATAAATAAATTCAAACTGAAGAAATAGAAAATAATAAAAATATGGATACTGCAATTATTAATATTTATAGAAAATTAATCGTAGCGTGCCACGAGAACGGTCATTTGTATCGTATTATTATTTTTTTAACGCAATTTGCGCAAATTGATTTGTGTTTTTCATTGAATTCCTGAACGCTTAAAAAATCTACGCGTACGTTTTGTAATGGGAATGACGTCGGCATTCCTGTGTATCGTTTTGAATATGTACGGTTTTCGAGAGGTGGACGCGCTTCGTAATTAAAAGCCATTTGCATAAAATTCCAATAACGAGCGCTGATTGATTTATGGCGCGCGACATTGTTGGTAAATAATAAAAATTTCAACAGCTCTGTCCGATGTCTTGAGCTCTCAGGCGGTGCTAATTTATGGTCGCGCAAAAGTATCAGTTACCGGATGACAGCTGTCAAGTTATAGGATAACACGAGAACCGATTCGTTATTTACTGGTTCCGGTTCATTTTTTTTTCTTGTTGTTCTTATTTCTTTTTATATCAATTTACTAAATATAACAACACGTTACTTGACAAGTTACTTGTCAAGTGGTTCCGTTTAAGTTTTTTGTTTTTAGTACATTTTGTTTAATATTAATTTACTTGTAACGTGTATTTGTCGCGTTCCAAGCACAGTCTACATAAACGCATTAATTTGTCGAAGTATTTGCACAAATTGTTTACGCAATCGTCCAATTAGGTATAACAAATTTAGCTATGTCATGGATATTAGTGATTTTGAAATGTTTTATTATTAAGAAATTGAAAGAACTTAAATACCATTTTTTGAATATAACTATACGTTACTTGACAAGTTATTTGTCAAGTGGTTCTGTTTATTTTTTTTGTTTTTAATACATTTTGTTTAATTAATTGTTACTTGTCACGTTGCAAGCACAGTCATTAATTTCTAAAAGTATTTGC